CAGGTGACCGAGGCCGGTACCGCACTGGCCGGCAGACCTGGTCGGTGGTGAAGCGTGTCGACTCACTCAGCAACAGTTGCGGTGCCGCACAATGCCACGACGGTGTTGCGCTCATCTGCCGACCGTCCGCAGGGTCAATTGTGCCGGATTCGAGCGGTCACTTGGAGTCAGCTTGGCTGAAAGATGGCCGACACCGACTCGAGCCTGCGGTTGGTGGACGAGACGAGATCGCCGTTGAGGCCTGCTCGAATCCCCGTCACCGGGACACACCGTCCAGCCATTCGGGCCGCGTGACGCAAGATCCGACAGACGTAGGATCTGTAATCTGTGAAAGTGATGCGTCATCCGCCTCATCGTCGACTGGCCGTGACGACGAGATCAACCGGACTCGGCGCCGGTTTCGCGCAACCATAGCACGGGCCAAGGAGTACCAGTGTCCCCATGCCCGACTACATTTCAAGGATGTAACCGAGTCATCTTCTCTCTTTCGTCTGCTGCACGTTTTTCTGTTAATTTTCTCATTATGCCTCGGCGCTCTGGCCTCATCTTCACCGTCCGCACAATTTCATTCTGGCAACAGAATTCCGACACTCACTCGGTCCACAGACATGACGTCACGGTTGATGTCGCACCGATCTCTGTCCGATACAGCTCGTCTACGAGCCATGACACCGGCCTATCTCTTTCAGATGCACTCGAGACATTCGCGGGAATGGTTTGATTTTGCCCAATTCTACACCTCGGATCGAACGGCCGAAGACACCGTTGCCATGAGGCAGGTGAAAAAAAGACGTCGACGTCATATTGTCGGCGAACACGAGGAGGCGGAGGGTGTAAATCGACTTGGAATGATCACCGCCATCCGGCACCATCGACTCATGGGTGAGCATGTAACTTTCTGTACTTTCACATGTCCAGTTGAGATTGAAATATCCCCCATGTATACCTTGTATGTCCTGGATCAGATCACACAAGCTCATCTTTATAGCCAGTTTGTTTCACAAGTTCAGGAGTTATTAGTTCATACCGTTTTCCAGACCATATGACTCTTTGAATAGGCAAATGTTCGAAACCGGTAGTGATAATTCTAAAGAGAGATAGAAAAGGTGTTCTTCTCATTACTTAGAGCCCTCACTGCTGGTTTGGTACCCTTAACTATGC